ATATGGAATATGAGAAGTGGGATATGAGGCAGCAGCAGCGGGAATGGGTCGTATAAGTATAGCAAAACAGGACGACCACAGTCCAAGATATAGACAAGAACAAACCAAATCCACCCTGAACAAGAGGGAAGCAGGATAATATACACAAAGGATTCCAAAATCCAAATTCGTTTCGATCCGACTAACCTACCAGGACTAGGGGTAACCTAGCACAGCATGTTATCTACATAATCTTGCAGGGGTGGCGTTTCCGTTTCCATATTCCCCCGCGCATGACGATCGGAAGTAGAACAAGTGGAAAGTCTAACATTATATCGCAATGAAAGGGGGGGAATGCAAGCGAGGATATGGTATTCCGCGATAAGGACGAATGACATGAAATCAAATCAAATGTATAATGCCACATGTAGATACCTAGGTCGGAGTTTAATATGTTGACAGCAACACCCAGGAGGCTATGGGCTTGCGTTTCTCCGCACACGGGTTGTGATTCGTACAGGGAGGCGCTGTGAAGGGCCTCCATTCGAGGCTCAGGGCTTCTGCGCTACTTCCCTCGGCGGAGGTCCCAAACCTATAAGGGAAGTTCCAGGCGTTGAAACTCACGGGATCCCCGGGTAGCGAGTTATCATAAATCATGATAAGAGTAAGCGAGATAAGGCTTGGGTTGGACGTAGGGATCATATAACGTGCTATGGGCTTATCTATGCATGGACTTGCCTTAATAGGTTCTCTTTATATGGCTATCACTACTGCTATATGATTGGGCCTTTCAAGGGTGGTACATATAGAAGCCTTGTACATCATACACGTCTTCACTACATAATCTTGAAGTATCAAGGTAAGACACTTTGGAAACAGCCGTTTCTATGTGCTATTAAACAGAAAAGACCTTCATCGCTATTCTACACAGTACAGCCCCAGCCTGTCCAGAGTTTCCAAGCCATATCGGTCAAAAAGAGGAACAGGTATATATCCGCGGATAATTTAGAAGGGCTGAACAAGGAACACATGTCAGCATCAACTCTCACAAACCACATAATCAGATTAAGACTCACGTTGTCCTCGGCGGGGATGCTGCGGTCGTAGTAGGTGTCGAGGAAGGGGAGCTGGCGGAGGATGTCGTTGCGCACACGGGGGACCTCGCCGAAGATGAAGAGAGCACCAGTGCCGATGGCGACACCGAAGCTACCGAGGAGGGTACCGCTAGAAGAAGTATCAGCATATATTGTTCGAGTCGGTGGGGGGGTGGGTGTTGGGGGTTTGGATTTGCGGTGGGATGTCGGGATGACTCACGTCTTGATGGCGGTGCCTAGGGTGTAACCACCGAAGCGAGGGGGGATGGCGTACCTGCAAATTGAGAATGGTTAGTATAGTGTTCTTATTGTTCTTTCGGTCTTCTTATGAGTCTGCTGTTGCGAAGGCCACGGTCTTGCACTCTGCGCAATGCAGCTCCCCGAAGCTCCGCTTTGAGAGAGCGAGAGAATTGCATGATGTCCAATGATCCATAGAGACTATGGCAATGGTTTCACCATCTAATAGCTCTGTGCTGTTCTCGCCTAGCACACTCCAAAAGGTCATCGTGCGGGTTCGAGGGAAGAATCTGGGAAGTCTCACTTGGGAGCGAAGGCGGAGGCCTGGGCCGCAGCGCGGCGAGCGGTAGTGGCGAACTATAGAATATATGTTAGCTTGATACTTTTAAGGTGAGTTCTTGAGTTCTCATCCATCCGGCTCGGAGGACCGGTTGTGATATCCACAACGCGACTCCCTGCCCGGGCCGTGGCCGAAGAGGTAAAAAACTTCGGGATGAGAATCATCTTGCTGTCGTCTATCGGTGCCGTAGCCACTTACCATTTTGAATGACACCGGTGTGATTTGGCAGGACAATGGCTTGAGGGGAGAGCTGGCACTTCGACGAAAACCGGGAACGCCCGAATTGGCACGTGACTTGAAGCCGAACTACCAATCAGAAGGAAGGCAATTGTTTTCGGGATAGTCTACAAGAACAGCACTGGAGATGAATGCAATTATTGATTCGATTTCTGGGATATAGGGGCTCTTAAAACTGATACGCCTGGACTCCAGGGTTGGGTAAAGGAGAAAGAAATAGAATAGGAAGGAGATATGTGCTTCAAAACCCAACAATCTGACATGCAAAAGATTCAAATGAGACAGAGTTGGTCGAACAGGCAAGTGCATGAGAAAACAAACCAACATCAATCAAATACAGTGTAAACCGAAGATTATAAGAATCGCGCAGCCAAACACCCTAACTGTACATGTGTCTCATTAATCGACTTTTCCGGTCGAGCCTCCGTTCAGGAAACCCTCCTTGCCGTCAAGGTGGAAGAAGCCGCCATTGTTGTTGTTATTGCCAATAATACCGCCGCGCGAGGCGTTGCGGCGGAGGCGTCCGCGTCCAAAGAAGGTGGCCACGGCCACCACAACGGCCAAAATGATGAAGAAGAGGATGGGATGGCTGCTGAGGAGAGATCGGGCGAAGAAGAAGATGGTCTCGAAAGTACCGATGGTTGACTTGGGCGACAGCTTGGCGGGGGAAGCAATGACAAGAGGAATAGTCTCGAGGATTGAGGTTCGCGAGGCCATGATGGGGGCTCCACTCGAAGCGGTATCCCAATAACGGCGGTTCTATATATGTTAGTTTCAGACTGAGGCAGATCGAAATAATTAACTTACATCCTGATCATTGATAATCACACGGTCACCGCTCTCCACGTCGATGCCGTAGGTTGTGCGCAGCCAGCGCTCCCAGAAATCGCCATCAACCCAAGCAAAGGCGACTGGCTTCTTGTCGTCCTCGCGGATTGTGATGCGCATGTTCTTTGCAGCCCGCAGTGCGCGTTGGTCATTGCGGTCATCGGCTTCTTCAATACGCAGTTGTTTGGCATCACGAAGTTCAGCGCGCTCAAGACGGAACAGCTGGACCTGCTTGTCCATCCACTCAAGAGCAGCCTCCTTCAACTCACGCTTGGACTGCTTGAAATCATCGGAACGACGACGGCTTAGGAGCCCCAGGACTACGAACTTTCCGTCCATGATCTCTCGAGCATTAGATGCAGTAAGTTCGGGAACAATAGGCAGCCACACAGTTTGCATCCACGAGAGGACCTGGCGGAAATCTCTCATGTCCTTAGGGGCAAGAGCGTTGTAGTAGTTGGGACGTCCATCACGGACCACCAGAAGACGAGGCCAAGTAGAAATCTTGAACCGCTCTGACAGAGTAGCGCTGTTGGTCTTGACGATGCGAGCGTGTCCCACAAGACTGAGAGTAAGACGGTTCATGGCCTCGAAGTCCTCGGAGGTCGTCGCGTCGTCGTAGAGATACAAGAACAAGACCTCCTCAGTCCGTTCCAGCTCCTTGAATGTAGCAGCGTCGACATCCTGGATACTGGAGCCGACACCAACAGCCTTGTTGGTGTACGAGAGAAGATCGCCCAGGCCACGAAGGCCGGTATATTCAACCCTCTCACCACCACGGAAGAAGTAGATCGTCGGGTAGGCATTCACTCGGGCATCTTCGCAAAGTCGTTTCTCAACTTCACAGTTCACTTCACCGACGTTGAGCTTATCCTTCATCTCCTTGGCCATCGAGTTCCAGTTAGGAGTCATAGCCTGGCAATGAGGGCACCACGGGACATAAAACTTGATGATCCATGGGTCACGGGTGGTCGTAACAAGCTTTTGGAAGCTCTCCGCAGTAAGTGGGATGGAAAGACCCTGAGGATTAGCAGGCCGTCCTTGAATCTTGGCCTTGGCGGCCTGAGGGCTGACGCCTTCCAATTCGGAGGTCGCGACGCTCTGCTTCTCGTCGGCCTTCTCCTTGGCTGCCTCGATGGCCGCCTCGGTTAGGGGCTTAGCAGTCATTTCCATGCCCCTGGCGCCAATCTTCGGCAGCTCGATGCCCTGCGAAGGCCGAGAACCAGGCTTAACCGCCTCTAACTTCTTTTCAATCATCTCGCCCAGTTCAGACATCTTTTTGGCGCCAATTGGAGGCTCTTGCTGAACGCCATTTTGATAGAATCCCCACGCAGGATAGTAGTCAACCTTCAGCTTGGCGCAGAAGTCGCTGTATGCCAGGCAGTTCATTGACCCGAAATGGAAATTGTAGTAGTCGGTAAAGGAGTTCAAGGACTTGGGTTCATCGGGCTTCTCTGCAGAAATAAACAGGGGGTTCGAGGTCTACCGCAAATTAGTTTATTTCCATGGATTGAAACAATATGGATGAATACTCACGTAGTAGTACTCATACAGGGTCTGGTAGATAGGAGCGGCCGTCCGACAATGAGGGCAAGATGGAGAGTAATGTTTAATCATCCTGTAACAGTTAGAATAATGGCAAATCCATATATGAGCTGGGCATCCTCACCAGAGACCATCTTTGGTGACCTCCTCAAAATTCTCCGGAGTTATCTGCGTCAGCGGGGGCACCTCAACCTCATTGAAGACTGTGGGCTCTTCTGGGTCCAGTCCGCGATTGCCCCGTGCAAGGAGTGAGGCATGGTCTCCCGATTCCAGATCCGAAGAAGTATCGGAAGGCGCACCCAAAGCGGGCGCTGCCAACAGTGAGAGGAGGGACAAGCCCAACCAAGATGGTTTCATGTTGACTGTGAGTCAAGTATCGAGATTGAAAGAAAGTAGAAGATGGTTGAGCAAAACGAAGGACTCTGGTCGAAGTACGGGATCGCGAAATGTCACAGGTGGCACATTGAACGGGGGGCGAAGACGACTCAGGTGGGCACTGGTCAACACGTCGCGAAAAGGCAGCACTTAGCGACTATAGCGCCCCGGAGCTGAGAACAAAACAGAAATGCACACAGCCCGAAGCAATCCAGACGTGAGGCTTTGATGGTTAAAGAAAAAGGCGAGATGCGTCTTTCCCCCTGCCGTTTGGGTGGAACATCGGGTTAATCCGCTCCGGGCCGACTTCGACACTTCGCCCTCCCTAACCGGTGCGACTTCGATACACCACAAATCCATTCACAATGCGGTCTACACTCCGGCTACTGGCCAATGTCAAGCCCCGGTACTTGGAGCCCTTTGCTCCAACCGGCTTGACTGGTCTTTTCACCCACCCTAGCCCTCGTCCGACTTTGATCTACCTTTACTCGACTACTCTGCAGAAGTTGCAGATGTTCCCCGAATCCTCCGCCTACCGCCAATCCGTTGAGGCATTGACCCGCCACCGTCTCCAAATTATCGAATCCCAGAAGCCCGCCGGCTTTGACGCCTGGTTGGAGCGCGTTCGGAAGACCGTGGGAGCCGAGCCTGAGCGGTTCACCAAGCTCCAGCGCCCCGACGGTGGTTTCACTCACGCCGCCGCCCAGCAGAAAGATGGAAGTGACGATGCTCGTGGAGTTGAATGGGATGGCGAAGAACTCACAGCCACCACCGAGGGTCCCGCCCGCACCCCGCAACAAGAGGCCGAATGGCACAACATCATGGCCGAGGCCAGCGAGACCACCGAGAAGGCCGAGTCCGACTTCTACAACGAGGAGATGAAATGGGAGAGCGAGCCTGCCCTTGATGCCGACCAGTACGTGCGCCTGAATCCTGGCTTGGCCGGGTATATTAGAACATGTCGCTAATCTCTTGTACAGGATCTCTCTGATTGAGCAACAAATTGGCGCTGGTCTCATCGAGGAGGTCATCCAGGTTGCTGAGGCAGAGCTCAAGCTTGTCGATGAGCTGGCCAAGGCTAAGGTGTAAGTGAAAATGGGCTCCATATGCCTGGACATCCGCTGACACATTTTCAGGTGGGAGGAACTCGAGGAGAAGCCTCAACCCGGCCAGTGGTCTTACTTCGAGCGTGGCAACTAAACAGCAATTCTGGAATGGCTGTGAATTTTACTCTCTGTAACTACTACTACTAGAGGTCGCTTTGAATACATGTTTCTCAAATCCAACGATCTTATTGGTCTCGACCGTAGAATTGATACAAGTAGCTACTATCTACGTACAGTGTTCTCAGCAGGGATTGGATAATTCCAGGGTTTTCTTTTTTCTTTTTTTTTTTTTTTTTTGTACGCGTCGTTCACCATTCCCCATTAACGTTAGTACTTCGATATATAACTTATACTTAGAGGGTTCGGCTCAATTAAGAGTGCCCTATAATATCAACTCATACAATTTAACAGGGCCGAAGAAAGAGGGCAGTCTACCTGAAAGCTATTATGTCCAATGCAAGCAAACTAACAATATCATAATTTGATTGCGACAAGTCGTAGATAGAAAGTTGTATAGGACTGATAGAGTGGAAGGCGGTGAGCCAAGGCGGGAATCCCTTGTGGACACATACATTGCTGTCCCTGAAGTGCTCTCCCTCAAGCTCTCCATCATCTCAATCCTCTGTTAATACCCTCAATTCCTACCTTAATTCGAGGCCTGTTCCTCCCTACCATTCGGGCTGACTGAGCGGCTCGCGGAATCCCCCTCGCTGTCGCTGGCCCAACGCCGCACCACACAAACACTCGTCTCATCCCCCACACAACATGCGGCTCGACGTCAAGGTACGCAAGATGAGGAGTGCTTCATGTCGCTTTGAATATGCCCTCGAAGGATATAGCGACATGACACCTCACCCCGACATGTACAATTGGAGGGGATTGCTAACGAGAATGTTCCAATTCAGAGGCAGCTGTTTGCCCGCTCCGAGCGGGTAAAGGGCATTGATTTTCACCCTACAGAGCCATGGGTAAGTCCTCCAAATATCTTTATGGATTCGTTGAAACTAACTATCTTAGATCTTGACAACCTTGTACAGCGGTACGTTAGGAGGGCAGTTGATGGGATGTCCAATGCGCTAATCACTTCCCGGTCCAGGTCATGTCTACATCTGGTCTTATGAATCACAGGTACGACTGGAGATTGCGCCCCTTCTTGCTCTCATCTAACCGATGCTCTCCAGTCCATTATCAAAACATTCGAACTCACCGATGTCCCCGTTCGTGCTGGTCGTTTCATTGCGCGGAAGAACTGGATTGTCTGCGGTTCAGATGACTTCCAACTGCGTGTCTACAACTACAACACCTCCGAAAAAATTACCTCCTTTGAAGCACACCCGGACTACATCCGTTCCATCGCCGTTCACCCTACCCAGCCGTTCGTGCTCACAGCCTCCGATGACATGACAATTAAGCTTTGGGATTGGGAGAAGGGCTGGAAGTGTGTGCAGGTCTTCGAGGGCCACAGCCACTATGTGATGGGCATGGCGATTAACCCGAAGGATACCAACACTTTCGCCTCTGCTTGTTTGGACCGGACCGTCAAGATCTGGAACCTCGGCTCTCCCCATGCCAACTTCACCCTCGAAGCCCACGAGACGAAGGGTGTGAACCATGTCGATTATTATCCCCAGGCTGATAAGCCTTACCTCCTCACCACTTCCGACGACAAGACCGTGAAGGTCTGGGATTACACCACAAAGGCACTCATCGCAACTCTCGAAGGCCACACAAGCAACGTCTCTTTCGCTTGTTACCACCCCGAATTGCCTGTGATTATCTCTGGTTCCGAGGATGGCACTATTAAAATCTGGCACGCAAACACCTACCGATTGGAGCAGTCATTAAGCTATGGCCTCGAGCGCGCATGGTGTGTTTCTTACCAGAGAGGCAGACAGGGGATTGCCATGGGTTTCGACGATGGTGCGGTAGTAGTGAAGATGGGCCGCGAGGAGCCTGCCGTTTCCATGGATGGATCTGGTAAGCTTATCTGGGCCAGACACAGTGAAGTCGTCTCGTCAGTAATTAAGGGCGGTGATGCCAGCATCAAGGATGGCGAGCCTCTCATGCTACCAACGAAGGATCTCGGTCAGTGTGAGGTCTACCCCCAGACTCTGTCGCACTCTCCTAATGGCCGTTTCGTTTCTGTCTGTGGTGATGGAGAGTATATCATCTACACCGCATTGGCGTGGCGAAACAAGGCCTTTGGACAGGCCCTCGACTTCGCCTGGGGCGCCAAGGACAACAGCAACGACTACGCTATCCGCGAGTCATCGACGAGTGTTAAGATCTTCAAAAACTTCAAGGAGCAGAGTGCTGGTCTTGATGTTGGCTTCCAAGCCGAGGGTCTGTCCGATGGCGTTCTTCTTGGTGTGAAGGGCCAAGGTGGAATCGGCTTCTTCGACTGGGAGACTGGCAGCCTAGTCCGCAGGATCGAAGCTGACCCCAAATCCGTAAGTTTTCTCCGAAGATGTGATGAAATCAAGCTAATTGTTCTAGGTTTACTGGTCCGAATCTGGTGAACTGGTTACCCTCGCTTGTGACGAAGACTTTTACGTTCTCCGCTATTCTCGTGAGGAATACATCAACGGCCTGAACGCCGGTGAAGCCGACGAGGATGGTGTTGAGGCCGCTGTTGAGTTGGTTGCCACCATCAACGAGTCTGTCCGGACTGGACAGTGGGTTGGAGACTGTTTCATCTACACCAACTCCACGAACCGCCTGAACTACCTTGTCGGCGACCAGACATACACAATCTCCCACTTCGACCAACCAATGTACGTCCTAGGCTACCTGCCCCGGGATGGTCGTATCTACCTTGCCGACAAGGATGTGAACGCCACCTCCTTCAGCCTCTCCCTCAGCATGGTCGAGTATCAGACAGTGGTGCTGCGCGGCGACATGGACATGGCCGCCGAGCTCCTCAAGGATGTTCCCCAAGACCAGATGAACAAGGTCGCCCGATTCCTCGAAGGCCAAGGATACAAGGAGATGGCCCTCGAAGTCGCAACAGACCCCGAGCACCGTTTCGACCTGGCTCTCGCCCTGAACGACCTCGAGACTGCCCTCGTGATCGCCCGCGAGGCCAACGTCGAACACAAGTGGAAGATCGTCGGTGACGCCGCCTTGGCTGGCTGGAACCTCGCCCTGGCGCAAGAATGCTTCACCAACGCCAAGGACGTCGGTTCTCTGCTGTTGCTGCACACCGCCAGCAACAACCGCGAAGGCCTCAAGTCCCTGGCTGCCCAGGCCTCTGAATCAGGCCTCCACAACGTCGCCTTCTCTACACTCTGGTCCCTCGGCGATATCGATGGCTGCATTGCTCTTCTCATCCAGACCAACCGCATCGCCGAGGCTGTCCTCTTCGCTCAGACCTACAAGCCTTCTAGTGCTGCCAAGCTCGTTGTCCAATGGAAGGAGTCCCTAGAGCAATCTAACAAGACCAAGGTCGCCCGCCTCATCGGTGTTCCACCCGGTGCCCCAGACGTCGCCTCTACCGACGACGACCTCTTCCCCGAGTGGGATGAGTACATCCGCCTGGAGAAGGAGGGTATCGTCCCCGAGCCCCCTTCATCCGAGTCTCTGATTGACATCAACGGAGACGGAGATGAAGAGCCCGCCAGTGCAACCAACGGCGCCCCTGAAGCTGAGCCCGAAGCTGAAGCCGAAGCAGAGCAGGAGCAGGCGGTGGATGAAGCCGATGCTGCCGAGGCCGAGTAAATGAAAGGAAAAGCACCGGGGTTCTGTTTGGTGGAGAGTTAGGTAGATCGTTTGTTCTCCGACTGACGAGTCAGTTGATTGTTGATTGCGACCGGCGTCTTAACGTGTGTCCGACTTTTTCTTTTCTTTTTTCTTACTTTGTGTAATTCCGCTACGATGTATCTTGATCTGGAGGAAACCTTGAGACTGGCTAGATACAATTACAGCTGTTCTTTCTCTATCCGGGAGGTTCCGGCCTGGTTAGGTCTATTGTTATATTATTGATGCATATATGTTCCTATCTACTGTACTGTAGTTTGTTGATGGTAATTTGTGCTGCACTCTTTTCTCGAGATACTGTATAGGATGGTGCGGTGGAACAGTGTGGCGGCTCGAGCTGAAGACTTAGATATGGAAAAGATGATCATGCTCCCGCTTGAAATGACGATCAAGATATGAAGCTCTTTTCTCCAAATTGGCATGGTTCCCAGCACAACTGCTGTATCTACAGAGTAGGGCGCAGAGGGTCCTGCATGTAAGGGCGGGGGGTAAGGCGTGCCCTAATCAAAGCTGCAATTACTGACCTTACCGCGACTAGGCACATTCTAAGGACCACTTATTCCTTGATAGAAACATTACAGAGGATACAGAAGCTTAGAAAATCAACGGTCGGCCTCCGAAAGTTCTCAACATTGATCAAAGCCCATTTTGTCCGCAAATAGATGTAGTTGGATATTCTAGAGCACATCAACGTATATCGAGTTTATTTTCAATTAATCCATGGATGATGAAATGTAACTAGCGTAGGTAAATTTTGAATAAAACCCAATTTGAAGCTTGCCCCAGCCAAAATCCTCCTAAAACTATTGATATACCTCGTCATCTGTCTCACGCTCAGCCAAGGCAAAGGAAGCATGAGGAGAGAATCAGCCCGCACGAGGCTTTCCCACACTCTGGTAAGAGAAAGCTGCATTAGAAACATAGGTATATACCATCTCAGAGGCTTGCCTCTGATTGACCTTGCGAAATTTTATTAGCGACGAGAGATTCTTATCTGGTTAGAGATACTCAATTTGCCCTAAAAGTTTTGGTTAGACGATCCACCAAGTGCAGATGATTCAGTCTACTATAAACACAGTGACAAGAGACTCGGTGACCAAAGTATTTGACCTTGTTCCGAGGGCCTCCAGGCCCCATCTACAAGTTACTACAATAGTATATCATGATAGATCCAAGACTCTCTGGCATTGTCCATTGTAAAGTTTTATCGACAATACACAACAAGGGCACAGGTAATGACCGCCTGAAAACGAACGAAACAAGGAAGAAAGGAACCTGCCTGGAGGGAATGGGAAACACAATCAAAGAAGATCGAGCAAAAGAAATCCAAACCAAAGC